CCACGCCCCAGTGGCGGTCTCAGCCAACTTCGCCCTAGTGTGGGGGGGGGGGGGGCATAATTACCACCCACCTCTAACTCAAAAACTAAGAGAGCTAGAAAGACGCGATAAGAAGCAGTGGATGGCTCTCAATGCGTACGTTTGAAAGTATTTGGTCATTTTTCACCTTAGAGCAATATTGGGGTCACCAGAGGTCATCAAAGGTCAAAATTTGCCAATTGTCATTATATTTTTCCGAAAACATGCCGCTATCTCAGGACCTATGGTAGCTAGAAAAACGCATGGAAGAGCAATCGATAGCTTTTTAACTCTTCTTTTGAAAAGATCATTATCAATATTGACCTCAGGTCAACGGTTTAGCCTCCAGAGGGCAAAAACTCCAAAAATAGCTGTTTTTACGAAAAGTGTTTTTCGATAATAACTTTCGACTACAAAAAGCCACGACATTTCTATTGCCAGAATCGTGTTCCCCTCGCCGAGACGCGTCGAATGAACTATAATTTGACCTTGAAAGGTCAACTTGAAAATTTGACCTCAGGTCAAGGTCATGACCTTACCGGAAAAGGTCATGTTGCTTATCAGTCGATGCGTCTCAACAAGACAAACACAATGAGACCATTCCCTGCGTTCTATCTCTTTCCAATCGCGAGTTATTGGCAAAAAACTGTTTGTAGCCTCAAGTGACTTCGGATGACCTGTCTAGAGGCTATCAGCAAAAATGACACCTTGGTCATCACGAGTGGACTAAATCATTGTGATTCTGAAATAGTTGGACTGTTCCGATGCGTACACACGGATCTAGAGGCATTTTCATTTTTCTCCATTGACTTGTAATGGAAAGGTCACGCCACTGACCTGACCTTAGGTCACGGATATAAAAAATCCGAGACATACAAATTGTAGGCGCCCATAACAGCATGCAATCCACCAAGTTTAAAACCTTTCTGACAAACACTGCAGGCTGGACATGATTGCAAACTTTTTTTTAAGCTTGGTCAGTTAACTTGACCTGGTGACCTGACCTGACATGACCTGGGGTCAAAAATTTCACACATTGTCCAAAATTGATGTACCAAAAGCTACCCCAAGCGGCGCGGCGCTACGCGCCGCGGTTTTTTATTCGCACGCAAAAAACGCGACAGGGTGGTAACATATGCCCCCCCCCCCCACTGGGGCGAAGGTTAACAGTTTGATTGCGCAGTCTATTCTGAGGCCTCTGATGCAAGGAAATTGGATCTAGCTTAAAAACTGAGCTCTTGGGAGTGATTGTCGTGGTTCAATGTTTTGCGTCGAAATCGGTCGAACATGACGTCACTCTGACGTCATTTCCGGCCGACCTATGGTACCTACGAAGTTCATATTTTGACACAAGGTGTCAAAGATGCAGCCGAAGGTACTGAAAGTTTGGCGTCGATAAACTAAGTGGTTTGGAAGTTATTGCAGAAAAACGGGAGGGGGCTATGAATAGCCCCCCCCCCCAATAGTATACATCCGACCCATACTTTGACTATTGTGACATTATTTATGACGGAAATATAACAGTGACTGACTCTTTACGATTGAAAAGACTTCAAAACAGGGTAGCTAGATTAGTGACAGGAACTCTACGTAGGACATCAACTGACAAACTGAGACAGGAATTAGGACGGACAACCCTCAAAACGAGACGAAACATTCATGAACTAACATTGTAAATACCTTCTATGCACTCAGGCAACCACAATCATACATCACTCTCATTATTCCCAACACTCGATCACAAGACGCTGGCACTGGCAGACTCCTAAGAAATTCAAATTTCCAGCATCTGCAAGCACTGCCCAAGAACAGGACTACGTTATTTCAAAACGTATTCGTGCCATCAACCACCAAGCTATGGAACACACTTCCTAATCACACTCGCAGTGAAACATATATTAAACTTTTCAAAATGGGCCCTTCTCAAGCACTTGGAAACCCCTCCCCCTCCTCAATATTTCTCCTACGGTACCAAATTTGGAAACAGGGTTCACACTAGGCTAAGGGTCGGGATGTCTCAGCTCAACGCTCACCTTTACCCCTTACAGCTTTCTGATTCCCCTCAATATCAATGCAGATCTCCCAGTGAAACTGTTCGTCACTTTCATCTAGACTGACCTATTTACTAAAATTTTCGTGACCGCCTATTTAGAGCGTGAGTATCCACTACCTATCCATCTAGAAATTAACGTTTCTGTTCTCCGCTCCTCTGCTTTGCTGAATCTGTTATCAAATGGAACTAATCCTGCGAGAGATGGCGACCGCGTGGTGGCCCAGCTCTTTCAAAAATTCGTATCCAATACAGTACGCTTCAGGCAGCCTATCGGGTTGACGGGCTCGGCCGGGCGGAGCCGGAGCGGTTGGGCCGGTTGGTGGTGGCGGTGGCGTGGCGGTTGGCGTGGCGGCGGTCGCTGCGGGTGCGGTGCGGGTGTGCAATGTGCATGCAGTGGGGGGAGGTGAAGCGACTCGGGTGATAGTACACTGAAAACAATTCAACCCGCGTACAGCGAGTAAAACCCGCTGCTGGCGGGTACACCTACCCACCACCTAATTTGACACCCTACCAGCGGGTGCGTTTACCCGCATATCGCAGGCTGTCAACCCGAGTATATTGTGTACCTAACCCGCATAGGATGGGGACTCAACCCACACACAGAAGGCAACCTACCCGTTCGCAGCGGGTACACAATCCGCACATGGCGTATTACCTGCGCTGCGTGGGTTGGGAACTCGCTTTCTGCGAGTACAAATATCCGCTGGTAGGGTGTCCAAATCAGCTGGAGGGTAAAGTACCCTCCAGTGGCGGCGTTCAAGGAGGAAAACGCCGCCAACCCGCCGGGATTCGAACCCGATATCTTTGATTTCGCATACCGATGCGCTACCAACTGCGCCACAGGCGACCTGACGCAAAGCGACTGAAATGTCGGTGTATATCAGATTAAAATGAAGAACTGACGGCGGACTCAATACAGAAAGTAAAAAGGCTTATCTTAGACAATTGAGATGAATCCGCCTATAGTGTTTTAAATATTAGGGAATAGTTTGGACAAATATTTCATTTGCATCGGGAAAGATTTATTTATCCAGGCTTATTGTTACCAATAAAATGTGCTAAGAACGGTCTGCAAACTTCACCACAATGCGCCAGATTCGCGGACTGCAGAATATTCTGCTGAGCGTTCCAGCGAAATATTCTGCCGGCCAAGACGTGACGTCATCCAAACAATGATTCAAATGTCCCAAGCCCGTTAAGTACCCTCCTAACTCACAGAACGCAGCCCCACAGCTGTTACAGTTACGATTACAATTGCCTTGCACATCTCTACCCCTGCACAAGGCCTGCACAAGCACGCAGCCGAGCCGAAAAGCGACTATTGTGGCGCGTCACATTTCAACACTCGTTTGAGCGTCGAAGTCAAAAGTATTAATTTCAAAACCAATGCCGTGCATCAGTGGGATATCTATTGGTATATCATAGGAACCTAGGTATAGCAGCCGACAAAGCCAGCTTCAGGAAACACTTACCACCAACTTGTCACACAAGAGAAGGCGCCCACACAACGCGCCACAAATCATCAACACATGGGTTGCGCGGGCTGAAGCAGGCCGGCGCATGCATGGCCTTGGACCGGCGTATGCAGGCTGCTGCAGGTTCCGCAGAAAAATCCAGAAAGTCCACGTGGTGCCATGACACATGCGTGATCAAGGCAACCTGCGTATAGCATGTCACCTACCTTGGCGCAGCGAGTTACACGATGCAAAACCTGCGTGATGCGCTTACTCCGTGGGCGCGAGTAACGCCTGCGGCCACAACCCGCTGCGGACGAGTGATTGACCCCGCCAGAGGAGGTTTCATGTATCCGCGCATGACGGGTTGCTGTTTTACCCGAGTATAGCGGGCGTTGACACCCGTGAAGCGGGTGAAAGCTACGATGATAACGGGATGCTCTGCGAAACGCGGGAAGCTAAACGGGTAGTCAGCCTACCCGGCAGCAAAAACTCGCGCAGAGCGGGTAATTTCTTCAAAATACCCGCGATACTCGGGCCAACTCGCAATCCACGGGTTGAATTGTTTTCAGTGTATGTTAGAGCCGAGAGGTGCTTCGACATAAACAAACTGTTTTGCACCAATAGGCGATCATTGTTTTGTACGTGTCTTGATTAATGAAATAAATTTATTCTATTCTATTCTATTCTATTCTATTTTATTCTATTCTATTCACTGTGAGGGTAATCGAGACAAACACCCACAAATTCCTCTTCTGTGCGAAAATGTGTGGCAACATGCCATTTTTGTGACTTCCTTATCGCAATGGTAAATGGCATCGTCACTTAACGAGGGTTAACATGTGAATTTTTATGAATTTAAATGATTTTTTTTAATGCATTTTTTTAATTTTTGAAATGATTTTTTTTATGAATTTAACATATGAATTTGTCACCTGAAGTTGTTTCAATGTTTTCATGAAAAATGATTTCTAATCATTTGATTAATCAGGGAAAAGCACCAATTGCTTATAAGTTGGGCTGAAAACCTACTAACCAAAAACTGCAGACCTAATTTATCAAATCTGCACCAAATGTGCACCAAATTTTGTCAGCTAGCCGTCGTGAAAATGAAACATGTTGTGCAGGCCTAGGTCTATGTCATTCCTGATGACGGGCATTGTGAGCTGACACTGGTTTTCATTTGGGCAGCTGTAACTGTGAGCGTAAAATGACACAGTTGGGTGATTTCTCGCTTTTCTGTGAGCGAATATCACATTGATCCTATCTGGCAAACCAAAGCGCGGATTCACGCTAAAAAAGGAAACCCGTACATCGCTATGCAGCACACTAGGCTGCACACGGTTGGCCCGTTTGTGGCTTGACAGCGGCGCTAGCTCAGTGTTATCACCCCGATCGACTTTAGGGTGATAGATCCGAGTTTACGTCCGCGCGTTGTGTGCATGGCTGGCTGTCTATTCCAGTCGAACCCGGCGGCGAGCAACATGTCTCCGGCCCTGTGGCTGATGGTGGCGGCCATATTGTGTCCAGTCTGGTGTCAGTCAGACTCCGAGGAGGACATAATTATACAGCCAGGTGAGACGCGCAGTGGATGGTTCAGATGAAGGTGAAGATGCTGGTTGACAGGGTAATGCCATCCTTCGCAAGTTGATAGCGCTCAATAACTATGTAGACAGATCCTCTATTCAACTTTAAATTCATATTGGCCGTTTTCACGACGGAAAAGCAGGCATCTATTTAATCCCCATTTAATCCTTTAGTTCCTCAGGAATTTTAGTAGTTCTTTTTAGTAGGCTCCCCAGCTTTCGAATGAATGGTGCGTTAGTTTGCTATTTTTCTATTAAATATCACATCGATTTACTTTATCTAAGGATTTATCACTAATATCAACATAAAGCGTAAGCACAATTGTAAAATTATGAAATTATTAAATACTAGTACAAAAGTTAAAAAAAGATACTGAGTTGCCAGGCTACAAAGAATATATTCATTTATGGCGCACGACAGACATTTAGAAAGCAGCGCCCTGTTTTATTGCACGCTGCTAGCCGCTTCCATTGGGTTTTGCAGGCCGACGTCATTGGTCGTTACACGTATGATGTCACGCGACTTGTGGCCTGTCACGGCTCTTTAATGATCTCCACTAAATGAATGCATCAATGGCCTTTTAAGTTGATCTCTGTGGCCATCTGTCTATGGAGCGACCAATATGAAAGTTGGGTGAATTTACCGGGGTTACATGACTATGAGCATTGAGCAAGCAAATGTGTATCAGGAATGGATTTAGGTGGAGAATTGCGCTGGACCATGAGTGCTCGAACGCTCCCAATTCCACGCCGGTTTGGCTTTGGAGCCGAGACAGACGATGCGGGTCAAGGTCACCGCTGGGGTAACGGTGGATTGGCTGCGCCCGAGCACCCGTAACGCGGCACAATTCTCCATCTATGGATTTTCCTATTCGCTCAGCATTGTGATAGGCGTTCGTAATAGCATTTACTCTGCTCATGTACCTATCCCCGGTTATTTAAAAGAAGTTTTTGTGGGGGAATGGAGGATCTGGAGATGTTATAGTGTGACGTTAAAGTCACGCGACATCTTTATTTTACGAGTTCATGGTTTTTGAGAAAATACACGGAGTTGATATCGAGACATGTAGTCCTGTTGTTTTATACCTTACATGGCGCGGTCGGTAGGACACGAACCTACGCTCCCATAGGGAGAGAAGGTCCCGGCAGGCCAGCCTACCGTGTGGTGTGCCCAGATGGTAGTGGTGCCTAAGGCAGATGGAAGACCACGTCGAACCATCGACTATCAAGAGCTGAACAAGTTCTGTGTAAGGGAGACGCACCACACCAGAGTCCCGTTCGACATGGTGTCGTCCGTCCCGAAGCAAACCTACAAGACAACACTGGATGCCTACTGGGGCTTCCACCAAGTACCGCTGGCTGAGGAAAGCCGACCACTCACGACGTTTATCACGCCGTGGGGCCGATATAGGTATCTGAGGACACCTATGGGCCACTGTTCAGCGTCTGATGCCTATACAAAGAGGTACGACGATGCGGTGGTTGACATCGACAGAAAGTTCAAGTGTGTGGATGACGTGCTGCTATTTGACCACGGCATAGAAGAGGCCTTCTGGCACTGCTGGACATACCTAGATGCGTGCGGCAGAGCAGGTGTGACGCTGTCACCTGAGAAGTTCAAATTCTGCAGGCGTGAAGTCGAGTTTGTCGGGTTCAAACTCGGCTGGGACGCATATGGACCGGCCCAAGGGAAGCTGGCGGCCATCTCTGAGTTCCCGATGCCAGCTACCCCAACCATCACATATATCCGGTCATTCGTCGGTCTGGTGAATCAGGTGGCGCCATTCGTGGCAACGGCACCCGTCATGGAGCCTTTCAGAGAGCTGCTAAAAAATCCCCAATCGAAGCATGTGTACTGGGACGACCAGCTAAGGAGACGGTGCGAGGAGGTGAAGTCACAAATAGCCGAGCTGGCGGCACGCGGTTTGCAGTATTATGACAAGCACAAACCGACCGCTCTGCTGACCGACTGGAGCAAGACTGGAGTCGGCTTCGTGGTTCTACAACAGCATTGCAAATGTACAGGCGGGGACAAGCCGTTTTGTTGTCCGAACGGATGGAAACTGGCACTGTGCGGAAGCCGTTTCCTGACGCCAGCAGAGCAGCGATATGCCGCTGTGGAAGGAGAGGCCCTCGCAATCGTCTGGGCCCTGCGGAAGGCAAGACTGTTCCTGTCAGGCTGTCCAAATCTGGAGATTATCACTGATCACAGACCGCTAGTGAAGCTGTTCTGTGACAGGCAGCTCAAGGATATCTCCAACCCACGGCTGTTCCGGCTGAAGGAGAAGACTCTCCTGTTCAGGTTCTCTATTCGGTTCCGCCCGGGTAGATTGAACGCCATAGCAGACACGCTGTCTCGCTATCCTGTGGAAAGGATAGGGCCGTCCGAAGCAGACCTGGCATTGGAAGACGAGCTGACCGTGGCGGCCATGACAGCGCTGGAGGAGTGCAGTGACATGATCACTGTCGACCAGGAGATGGTGCGTCAGCATGCACAAAATGATGGAACCTACCAGCTGCTGAAGCAGCGCATTGAAGGAGACACGTGGCCAGGAAGCTGCTCAAACGAGGTGAGCGAATTGAAGGCATTCTTCAAGGTGCGGAGCAGTCTCAGCGTGGTGGATAACTTGATATGCTACTCACACGAAGGTGGCGCCCTGAGACTAGTCATCCCAGAAACCCTGAGAACGCTGGTCGCTCAAAATTTGCACGCAGCACATCAAGGCACAGGAAACATGCTGAGGCGGGCCAGACAGGCAGTGTACTGGCCAGGATTTGAAGCTGATGTGGACAGGGCGAGGCTTCGGTGCACAGAGTGTGATTACCATGCACCCTCGCAGCCAGCTGAGTCACTTATCATGACACCACCGCCCGAATACCCGTTCCAGCAGGTGGTTGCTGACCTATTCGAGGTGCGCGGTCATCGCTACATGGTGTACGCCGACCGACTAACGGGGTGGATCAAGCTGGATCATCTCCGCTCGTTCGCATCCAACATCATCATACCGATACTGCAGCGGCATTTCTCCCAGTACGGAGTGCCAGAGCAAATATCTATCGACGGAGGGACCAGTCTCGTCAGTGCGGAGATGACTGGGTTCTTCCGACGGTGGCAGGTGGATGTTCGCCAGTCATCCGCCCAGTACCCACAGTCGAACGGAAGAGCAGAGGCAGCGGTAAAGTCTGCTAAGTCAATCATGCGAAACAACACAGGCGATGATGGCAGTCTAGAAATGGAGAAGATCGCATCCGCCCTACTACAGTACCACAACACGCCGCTCCGAGAGGGCGATAAGTCGCCCGCGCAGCTGCTGATGGGGCGGCAACTGAGAGGTGGTGTGCCGGTCCCGGCGACCCTGCTGCGCGTGCAGGATCATTGGCGGGAGGACTTGGCCCGCAGAGAGAGGATGATGGCTCAGAAGGCTGACCGGCTAGAGAATCTCTCCAGCAGGACTTGCCGTGACCTCACCAAGCTGGCAGTGGGTCAGCGTGTACGAATCCAAAATGCTGCGACTAAGCGATGGGATCGGACCGGAGTGGTAACGCGGATTCTTCGTGCGGTCAGACAGTACACTATTCGTCTGGATGGGTCTGGTCGACTGGTTCTCCGCAACAGGAAGTTCCTAAGACCACTACGCACAACAGGAGAGGAACGCGATGTCCCATCCCCAAGCAGCACCAACCCGGAGCCACCGGTGCCACCGCGCCGGCGTTCCGAGCGCCTCGCGCTGCAGTGAGCCGGCTCAAGGAGTATAGACGGTACTGGGGCCAGAGCTGGTACCCACGTGCGGTCCACGTGACAAAACGACACGTGTACGAGTGGGAGAGGGGAAGATGGAAACATAAGGGGGGTTGGAGGATCTGGAGATGTTATAGTGTGACGTTAAAGTCACGCGACATCTTTATTTTACGAGTTCATGGTTTTTGAGAAAATACACGGAGTTGATATCGAGACATGTAGTCCTGTTGTTTTATACCTTACAGGGAATATCACGGCTTTAGGTACTCGGTGGCCCTATTCACGACTTTCAAAGAATGCTCCGATAACTAAACACCGCACAGACCTACTGCATTAGTGAATCTGACAGAAGGTCTGTGGAATTACATCCCCCCTCACCACACCCCTAAAAACTCATCCAGTGTCCAAAACCACTTTAATCGACTCGCAAAAAAAAACACACACACACATACACACACAAAGCATGGGGCATGTCAGCTCTCAGTTCATTTATCATTGTCTTTACCATGGTTCAATTGCATTGCGCGATTTAAAGCACGTGAGTGCCTATATAGTATATATGTAGAAAATAATATCTACAGCAAAACATCCAAAATTACAAAGGCTACAATGCTTAAAAAGTAGGTTCATCAAGGAAGCCCATTTTTACTTGCGTTGTGTTCCCAACCATGCGATTCCAACGCGGGCTATTCGCAACGTCTGTTAAGGTACGTTAACAACTGACAAGCCGCCACCGCTGCCACTTATTCATAAATCATAGATGGTTGATATCGCAGCTTGGGCGTCAGCAGCGCGGCCCACAACGCGTCGGCGCCAGCGCACGCAGCTGTTGGCACTCGGCAGCCGGTGTTGCGACTTAACGGCCGGCCGGCCCCATGAAGGAGAAGCTCTTGGTGAAGCTTTGTGATCGCCTCATAGCCGCCTTGGATGTCATCTTTCTTGGCAGATCCATCCGTTCAGATGGTGCGGTGCAGTCTGGATAAAGGACGAAGTCCAACGCCGCTAACCCCGCGACCGCCACCCCACAACGTGGCCGCAGACCGAACGGGCGTGGGGGCCGTAAGGGCCACCCCGCCATCCGGTAGGTGGCTGAGCAGCCGGGCGCAGCGGCGCCTGGGCGGCGGCCGCGCTGAGATGAAGTCCCAAACCGCCATGTCGCCATCACCGCCATCACAATTGCTGCAGCTGTTCCCAACCGCCTCAATCGCCGCCGTTTTGCCAGCAGTCGCGCCGCGGAATGGCAGAAGCTC